TTATGTTATCACCCATTTTTAATCATTTTTGTACCTTTTGTAGTCATGGTTGATTTAAGTAAGGACATGTACTTTTCCTGTCATATTTATAATATAAGTACACGTGCTGGAAATACCTGCTTATTTATTTATTTAGCCATTATTAACTGTTGTTTATACATGGGAAATCTTTTTTTTGCTTATAATCAATGGTATACCCTTATTTCATCATATGTTAGTAATCAATAATCATTGAGTTTGTCACCGCCTTCATTCATGATTATTCTTAAAAGTTTATTGACACTAATATGCACTTTTAGTTTGTTCAGTTATTTTTGTCCGCCAAGGTCACATAATGACTTGAACTTCAATATGTATTCGTTATAGATGGATTATAGTTGAGGTAAAATTTCAAAAAACTAAAAAGCACTGAATATCTGTTTCGTCCTATTATAGGTCTCTTCGGTGGTGCTCTCTCTCTCTCTCTCTCACACACACACACAATTTGACACGGCATCTTTAGATCTTACAATAAACGCCTAATCATCATAACTATCGGATCGGTTTCTAATGCTACGATCCCAACATCAATTAATTTGCTATATAAGGCAACGATTAGGTGCATTCATCTATTTTTTTTATTTAAACATATAAACATAGGCACAACGGGGCACCAAAATATATGTGCGCCGATCAATAAAATTGAGGTTGTGAAGGGATAGAGAAACGGAGGTGAGCACAATAAAAAGGAGAATAAAAATGAAACGGAGTTAGTGTGTGAGAATAATAATGATAATAACAATAATAATAATGATAATAACAATAATAATAGGAGGAGGAGGAACAGTTCAGTTAAGAAAAATACAATCAGAAAGGATTGTTTCAGTGAAAGAAGTTTCTCTCACTTAGATGAAGAAAGTAAAAGAAAGTTACAGCAGGATTGCGACTGGCTTCTACTCTGAGCCATAATTGTTAATGTCTAAAAAAAACTGAGATGTACCATCTTTAGGATTCCAACCAGGGAGTCGTAAAGCCGTAGTTATGGTTCGTGATCGACAGCCTCCAGCTACGGTTCCTCATTAAAACTAACAAGATCAGCATCAATGTCGAAAATCTTCAAAACTATTTATTTTAGAGAGTGTTTTTTTACCGTTATACATGATTTCAACTCGTCTTTCAACTTCTTTGGTAGATATCAGTGTGAGGTTTTGGAAATTGAGAACATGAATCGATCAGTGTTAGACCACCATTCAAAACTTGGAAGCACTGAACGACTCTTCAACGGTAATCATCTACGATCCCGCACACAGGACCTATCGGTCTCACGCGTGAACGCTTAATCTCTAGACCACTGATCCGGCATCCAACGGTATTAACGTCTAACTTCGTCCAGTACACAAAAGTAAGACACTAACACCGTTGGATGCCGGATCAGTGGTCTAGAGATTAAGCGTTCGCGCGTGAGACCGATAGGTCCTGTGTTTGAGTCCCATGTGCGCAGTCGTAGATGATTACTGCTGAGGAGTCCCATACTATGACGAAGTGGCCGTCCAGTGGTTCCAGGTTTTACATGGTGGTCTAGTTTCAATTGAATCATGATCTCAACTATTAAAATTACTACAATATCCACGAAAACCCCTTCTGATATTAAAAATATCTGTGTGAAAAACGGCTACGTCTATTATGGTTCCCGGTTGGGTTGAGTTAATTGCAAATCAAAGAACAGTTGAGCTATTCTAATACGAACAGTCCCATTGAGGACTCGATGATGGCAGCTGGCAAAAAACACTTCAACAGTTCCCTGCTAACACAAGACGAGAACGAAATGTAAGAAAAAAGATAATATTCTAACAGAACAACCTGAAATGTTACGATTTTGTACACATATTGGCGAAAACATAAATTTTAATCATGTGGAAAGGTAAACGAATTAACAGTAATGGCAACTAATCACAAAGGGTATGCCAAAAAATTGAACTAGAAAAAAATCAATCACTGACGGTTAGCATTCCTGGTTGGACTTTTATACAATTAATCCCGTAGTAGTAGTCTTAGTGGAACTATATTCAACAATCGTTAGTTTTCTTTGCTTAATATTCATTTCATTCCTGTCCACTTAACATAATGAAAAAGAATGATCATAAATGCTCCTTATTGCCTTCGCTCTCCTTTACCTCAAAAAAGGAAAAAAATGATTACCCCCCGGCAATTTCATCAAAAAAAATGTTCAGTGAATCGACCAACTATCATAAAATGGACTTCAGAAATTAGGAAATGAATAATTTTCCACATATGAACAATTTCATGTATAAAGTTCCTTTTGAAAAATGTTTGAAAAGAATAAAAACTAAGATTTTAGCTAGAATTTTTGTTAGACCACCATTGAAAACCTGGAAGCACTGGACGCCGTTTCGTCCTATTGTGAGACTCCTTAGCAGTGCGCATCCACGATCCCGCACCTAAAGGAATTCGAACCCAGGGCCTTCAGTCTCGCGCGCGAACGCTCACTAGTGAATAGCTTCGTGAGGACATTCTCGGAGTTCTGGTGAGAAGCCGTGACCAGTGGAGCTAATCCGTGTCGGGTAGGTATAGGTGTCTACAATGGAAGATGGTCGCGCAACTTCGTGGATTGGTTGGGGTTAGACATTAACACCATTGGATGCCGGCTCAGTGGTCCAGTAGGTTAAGCGTTTGCGCGCAAGAATGAAGGCCCTGGGTTCGAATCCCTTGGGTGCGGGGTCGTGGATGCGCACTGCTAAGGAGTCCCACAATATGACGAAACGGCCGTCCAGTGCTTCCAGGTTTTCAATGGTGGTCTAACATCAATCGGTTCATGATCTCAATAAAAAACTTAACAATCTCCACAACCCCTTAACTGAGAATCTTTGTTCTTGCTCTTTTCGAATTAATACAGATGATAAACTATCATGCCATAGGGTAGTGTGGTCACACATATATATGAAGAATACTTAAACTAATCAAGAAAGTTTGCGATTAAATGATTGTAATGATGTAGATTACATAATGAAACACAATAAGTCAAAAGTAAACTATGATATCATAATTACTCATAAAACATAGTTTACCAAGTTACTAATGGGATATGAATAATTGCTAGACAATTGTGAAGAAATTCTAATAGATTAATTGTTTTGAAGCTTATGTGTTAATGCTTAGGAACAACACTGAAGGTTTTATATATAGTTTATCTGCATGAAGAACAAGTGTAGGCTACGAATATTTCTCACTATCCTAAAGGTTATTTTATTTAAATCTTCGACTATTAATAAGGGTTACTGATCTCCCATTATTTATATTCTAGACTTTAATTGTTCGTGTCTTCTTCCTATATGTGTATCTTGAGTGATTGTTTTGGCATACTATTATGTCACAAGTCTTAGTTATGTGGCTACCAGTGGAGTCCAGGACGAGAGTTTTACTTCGTTTGTAACTTATCAGTTGGATGTACCTGCAAACACTGTCGGTGTTCACTCGAACCAAACACTCTCAGCTTTAAATCTCATGTTATCCACTGGTACATTCAACAGACGACTCCAAAACAGGACAAAATGGGCGTCCTGGATTCCACTACTAGCCACAGTGCGTTTGTTGTGTAAAACTGGTGTAAACATAGCTATATCAAGACAATTAGGACAGAATACATATATGCCAACAAAGACCAAACAAAATTCTATCGTAAATACCATTTGTAGTGTGATCCAAGCACTAATTAATGATTATAAAGCTCGTGCCTATTTGTAATGGTTGATTGAATCTTTCCATTGATGTTTAGAACTGCAATTGGCCATTCTGATTTTTGACATATATGCATTCTGTGTGGATTGCCTCGAAATTATCATTAAGTCACAAGCATGATACGCAAGAATAGACGGTAGCTAGCAGTGGAATCCAGAGGCGCGTTTCGTCCTATATGGGACTCGTCATCTAGATGTATCTACATTCCAGAGTTGATGTTTGCTCTGGGACTCCAATTAAGATTACTGAGATTTGCAGCGATTTTATTTCATGCGTACTGGCACTCGTTAAGTAGAACCACGTAGTGAGCAACAGTCTTGTCCCACTATGGGACTCATCAGCAGCAGTAAGCACACAGCCACGACAGAGACCGAACCCGTAACTTCCTGTCACGACAGTGATGTCCTAATATTTAGACGATTGAATCGTAATCTAGTGATTAGAATTGCCAATTCTAGTCAACTCATGCTATAGTGCTGTTGGGGAGCCCTTGAATTGAGTCTAATTACTATGGTAAATCGTTACAAGTTACTCCGTATGCCAAATGACTCAGGTACTGTTCATACCATTATCACCAGCATTCGAATTAATGGTTGAAATACGAAAAGTTGCGGACACTTTTTTAGTAATGATAATAATAACACTTTATTACCAGAGAAGTAAACTACACTGTATACCTTTCAAACAATGAAGTGGCTCCTACTAAGTTCCCAGGAATATAATAAACGTGTACACTTTTTTTCGTGGTTCATATAAATGTTCAAAATAGGCGATGGACAAGGCTGGTAATAACAAACTCAAATCCTCTGACAGGTAGTGAAAATCAGTTGTTTATATAAAACGACGCATAGCACCATTGGTGGTTAACCTAAAAATACACGTTAACTCCATTCAACATAGTACAGCCCAGACTGAAGACCACATTCGTGAGTCAATTCTTATGGAGAATCGTGCAAATTATCATGTTGACCGTACATGCTAATCCAGACTAACCAATAGAAATAATGGGCGTTACCATGACATTCACAATCCAGTTTTAACCAATTAAAACTCAATGTGAGCTATTCGGATACGAAATGAACAATGAAGACACGCATTAAACTGAAGGCTTTCCTTTGAGCTAGGGGAGTGGGTCAGATAATATGGGTAACGAATCAAAATTTAGAGTTGAGGTACATGTTGTGCTATCATCCTGTCTGACTGTATATTGTATGTGTATCAATATATGTCATGTATATATATTGACTGTGTGATTGTTTGCATGTGATTGTTATCTGTCTGTTACATGTGTACATGTGATTGGGACAGTCAATTTGGCCTGTGAGAATTGTTAGTTTTATTATTATTATTGTCCTGACCAAAGAATTTTTTGGGCGTTAAATTCTGGGGGTTTTTTTTGCGTCACCAAGGTGGTTTTTTTTGGCTGCTTTCGCTTCTGCGACATTTATTTGTCGCTTCAAAATCTCATCTCAGGAGTAATCAATCATTACAACTAAGTCGTGAATTAACAAAATAAATTAGGATTAATTAATCTATACAATGATGATGATGATGTTGGATCATCATTCCACTGAACATCATAATGGTTTAGATCCGAAATCCGATACAGATATTGGGATTGTTAATTCTAACATATTATGTGAATCTAGACGACCAAATTCTAATATTCCTAAAGTAAATGGAGATTTCACACATAATACTTTTCATTCTTCACCAACATATGTTTATCCACTTGATCGACATTCCGCTCCAGCATCCACAAATAAATCAATTTCACGTCAAATAACACCGAATGATTCATGCCATGAAAGTACTTTACGTTTGCATGGTAAGTCATTATTTCCATTTTATTTTTTATGGGACATTCAATAGAACGACAAAATTTTTAGTGTTGCTATGACGACTAACTTTCTCACACTGTTTGACTGAATATATTCGAATGTAGTTGATTATATTTTGTGTTTATAGTAACAAAATTATTCCTAAATATCAACTGTCACCATTACGTTCTATGCGACACTGAACTACCAGAGTTGTTCACTAGAGATCTTGCAAAGTTCTTCGTCGTTCATAAGTGATTAACTTTAGATTATCTCTAACCTTCAAGTAACCAATATGGGACATAACCTACTATATAGAGATGTAATTCATCAATGAATGACCAACTAGTTGATACACTAATTCGTTCTGGAAATGAAGGTGTCTATATTAATTGTAGATCGGCAGCTATCAGTTAAATCTTTCAATTTTCAACCATTGAATCCCCTACCATCAACTTACACATTTAGAATGTTTACTTGAATTCACTTATATTCATCTGCATCTGCATTATAGTAACTATGTTTACAATAACTGTGTACGATTCCCTATCATAGACTGTGAATTCACTGATCTATTACTATTCACTTATAGACAATATGTTTCATGTATCTAACTGAGCTGATACACATCACATAATTATAGTGGGAGCAACTAACTTAACACAAAAATGACAGTTTCTTAGATGAAGGGATAAATGCCGGGAAATATTGAAATAAATCCAAGATAAAACAACTTCATTTATACCAATTTCAAAAGACAATTGAATACATTTACCGTGGTGTATAGATTACTGAAGTGATATGTGTATATTCCGTATATCTCCAAACTAAAAAAAAGGGAAACATTCACCGGCTAGTGTGTTTACTTGTACAATCGATTCATTGTATGTTTGTATGTTTGGATGATATTTTAACATGCCTAAAAAGTTTTCAGGTTTTTTTTCTTCTTTTTATAATCATGTTCTTTGCCTTATTCTCACAAGCAAAGGAAATGTAGATTACAATCGTGTACATAAATCTGTAGGTGATAACGGAGTTGCATAAATTAGAAATTCTGATAGATCATGTATGTTTCGGTTAACAAGGCATGATCTATGTAAATAATGAAGTAACTTTTACAGGGAAAAATATACATTTCCTGGGTAATAAAATTGTAACCAAGACTCAAAACTGCTAATATAACTAGGTATTGATTTTTTGTGCGCATGCGTGTGTGTGTGTGTGTGTTGTCGATATGGTCACTGATTGATGAAAACAAAAGTTGTAATTAATGTTTTTTACTCACTTTCAATCTCATATTTCAGTTTATTACTGTTAAGATATTTGTTGTTATATTAGGAGCGATCAGTTCTTTTCAGAATGACATTACATCGATACTTTGAAGTTGTTTGGGATGCATGCTTTGAATTTATTAGTTTATTAAATGTCCGGCGCTTTAACCGGGTTGGTGGACATGGAGAGTTGGAAAACCCTGATTCCAAACCAATTGTCCAAATGGCCTCCAGGATCCTGAAGGAACAAATGGAGTATGAACCAATTGTTGGTCACCGGCTACCATGGGACTGTATCTCCTTACGATGCTCCACTGCCATGTGGATCAGACCTCCAGGTCGAAGGCTCCAGATGTGACCCTCTAAGTAAACCACCCGCTTCTGTTTGAGCTCCCGAGCAGTATCACAGTTCTCACACATATCAAATGAGATCTGTGTGGTGCATATATATTTGGTGCCTCTTTGTACCAATATCTACGTGTTAAATAAATAGTTTATTAAATATGATCATAGTTGGTTACTTGTACTTACTGAAATGTATACAGTTTGTTATTTTCGCTTGTGTGTTGTAGTTCCTGTATTCACAACCGTTAAATTATGCCTCATAACTCCACTTCGGTGCTAGGTGGTTTCAGGTAGTTGTCATTAAACAATGTATATGTGGTTTGATGCTACTTGATATTCATCACCATAGCGTACCTGAAATGTTAAAGTAAATTATGTTCTTAATGCAATTCTTAGCCTTGTCATTCAGTTTTACAGTTTGAGACGTTGCTATTATGATATGCTTCCAACGAATGACTTATTATAAGGCTAAGGTATTAAGACTGATTGGTCACTAGCTCTACTCCAGTTGTGTATGACCAATTAACTGGTTATTTTATGATAAATGTACAAATGCTGTTACGTGATAGTTTTGATTTGTGTGTTTGTGTGACAAGTATCAGTTATTGGTTGTTAGTATATACGCAATATTATAAGTCAGTCAATCAGTCGGCTTAAACTGAAATCCTAATCAAGTTTATTTGAATTCGTTTGTCACTTCTGCTTGGGTTTTTTTTTTCAAACTCTAACTTCATACCTGTTTTGCATCCATAATTCTTTTTTAGACTCAATTTTTCTTAGTCGATATTCGTACTCAGTTTCAGTTTGCATTAGTTCAGTAACATATCGATAGTATAATAGTAGTTCTCTATCAATGCTAACCGATGTTGGAGATGGTTGGAAGAAAGTTAGGGGTGGCCAAACCAAAACATGGGATTAGTGCTTGAAATCACTAACTTCTAATCTGAGCCATGTTGTGGTCCGCGAGACTATCGTATCCAATGGTTAGAGACGCTTGGTGACATGGCTCAGAATCGATCCCTTAAACTGTGAGATTAAAATCGCTTCATATCCTTCTTTCTACCAACTAATTCTTTCTTCCTGTACTATATCCTTATATTTAATCTTTCTTTTATATATTACCACCTTTGAATTAACACTGCTTTTATGAATCCGGTGTTGATCTTGTTGTGTTAATGAGGTATGGCAACTTGTACCGATGCATATATGTGCCTGGTCCTACGTTGTAGCTGACTGACTGATCAATATAATTTATTAGTTTTAATGATTACATTCTATTCTCATGGTTTATTCCATGCATTCAACAAAAAATGTTGAAGAACATAATAATAATCTCAGCAATAGAATGTAAGACTAGTATAGGCCGTAACAAAACGTGATAACAATCCATTCTATTGATTGACTGCTGATTTGAACTAGGTTGTTTAATATATTCTACTTGCTTAGGGTCTGCGATGATTGCTATATATGGCTAAAGACGTTAAGCGACATTGCTGGTAATCAGTCTCAATTGGAGGGGGGATGCATTTACTCTTTTTCTTCCCTTAGATGTCTTGTGTTCAAAATGGTCTTACGTCATTCCATAAATTCATTGTATTTTTCACTTACTGATCCTACTACTACTACTACTTTGATATATATCTTGTTAATTTCATTGCTCTACTCTAATTTAGTACAGCAATGTAGACCGGTGCACATATGTACCATGTTCTACATGGTTCCTTATAATCTGACTGTTATGATTGAGAATCGACTAATTTGTCAAGAGTTATTTTCATTTACTCACTTTTTTTACTCATATTTCAAGGTTTGGTTTTACACCTTTTGATGTAGTCCTAGTGATGAGTTTCTCAGCAACTTTCTTTCGTTTCCTATTGAAGAATTATGATTCAACTATATTTATGAAAGTCCAAATGTGCTTAGTGGAATGGAGTCTCCTATATTCCAATGATATCATTTTAATGTATCTGAATATTTATGACTAGAAATTAGGAAAACACCTCAACTACCATAAGTCATTGGGTTATTAGTTCTATGTCTAATCAAGAAGGTTTTTCAAAGAATTTGTTGCAGATTATTTCAGTCAGTCAGTAACAACGTAGAACTTCGTACGTACGTACATCAGTTGGAGTTGCCATACCACATTAGCACAGAGATGCAGTTGTCGATTCAAATCCCGTGGTGGTAGAGGTAGTAAAAGTATAAACAGTAATCGGGAAGATTAGGGTTTAGAGATGTTATTTAAAGAGTTTTAATCCAGTGAAATAAATTTGGAAAGAGGGAAAAAGGGAAATGACAAATTCAGAAGATTGGAATTTTGGAGAACACAAAGAGTGGATCCACCTGCGCCATTGTAAACGATTTTGAGCCATGTCATTCAAGGTTTCTAACCATCGGTTACTATCGAATCGCGGACCCCAGCCAGGTAGTCTACACGTACTACATGACAGAGTCAGTGTCTTCATGGACTTGTGCCATGTTTTGGTCGACATAACTCGTTTACAAAGTATGAATTTATGAACTGAGGTTTAAGCTGCAGTTTTTGTATGTTGACGAATTACTGATGCTGTCCATTTGCCTGAACGAAAATAAATAGCATTTTGTCCAGATCCACGAAATGTTGATTGTGAATTGAACATGCTAGTCACTAAGACACAGTTACACATCAATATTTACACTGCATTAAAACAATATGGAAACTAATAAAATGCAGGTTTTCTGACTATTTTTGTATTCATTGAATATTTCGATATCCTTGACCATAATTCATTTCGGTTAGTAAAACGGCCTAGAACCCTCTGATTATTCAAACATAATATAAATGGGGTTCAATTCATTTTTTTTCATACTCCATTGACCTGAACATTTACAGGTCATATACAAGGGTCTTATTCATTTTTTTTTTCTTCTAGAATTTATGGTGTGTTGACCGTAGTCAAAACCTATAACCCAACCATTTCATATCATTCATTCATTCATATGCGTTTCTTTGTTGTCCCATTTCTAATTTTTGCCTCTTCTCTCTTTTGTCTTCTTTCTGGTGACCGATTTCTATTTATAAATATAATATATGTCTTTATTCATTTGAACTATGTATACAATTATTGAATAGTGCCTTTGTTCGTCATTCTATCTATCTAGGAGGAATCTTTGTTCTAATTCCCTACCCTGTTTTTTCTTCATTGTTGAAGTGCTGAATTAATCCACAATGCATTAAAATATTGTATGAGTCAAACCGGTTAATCCAATCCCCTGCCCCCAGAATAATCAATATATTGGTGTATGTATATATATATATATATACATTAATAGATGTGCGTGCGTGTGTATGTTTTTTTAAAGTTAACATGGCAATTGTCTAACATTATAATGGTTTTGTGATGTAGTCATAG